AATGGTATGCTCTTCGAACGAGCCACATACATCTGAATGTACAACTTCGAGCATGCAGGATCATCTCATTGGCATAGTCTAGACGAGAGAATTTATTGATTGCTTTCCGACTAAACAACCTTTACACAGTTTGTTGGGCATCACAAGACTTGGTATGTCGTTTACCATCTCTTGAGTAATCAATTGATTGAGTGATCGAAAGCTCAAATGTCCAAACCTCAAATGCTACAACCAACTATCCTTGTGGTCGACAACAGTTTTTAGACATTGTACTTCATTCGAATTGATCATGGTCTTAAACATCCTATTCTTCGATAGAAAATATTTTAAGACTAAATTGTTGTGGGTGTCAAACAATTTTAAAGCTCCATCTTTCATGACAATTGAGAAACCTTTTTCGACTAGTTGTCCAACACTTAACAGGTTGTACTTTATTCCAGGTACATAGAGAACATCTTTGATAATAGCTTTCCCTCCATTACTCGTTTGAAAAACTATGTTGTCAGTACCTTCTTCTTGCAACGAACTACTATCAATAAGTTTTACCCTGCTATTCTTCGACTTGTCGAAATCTTCCAACCACACCTTTTGACCAGCCATGTGATTCAAACATCTAGAGTCGATGAACCAAATCCTGAATTCGACATGGTTATCTGCAACTGCAGCCATAACCATCATACCTTCAGAATCATCTGATTCTTGTCGTGCAAGGTTCACTCCTTTGTCCTTTCCTTTTGTCGATCCCTTTTCTTTCTCGTATCAACAATTCTTGGCCAAGTGATCCCATTTTTCACAGTTATATCACTACACACTTTTTTTATCTTCTTTGTCCTTTTGATAGTTTTCTCCTCCTATTTTTGAGGATTCAGAAGCCCTATCATCGACCTGATGCTTATGAGGGTTCGACCAAGACTTTTTGTCCTAAATATCATCGACTTTTCCTTTGAATTTGTTAGAACCACCATTCCTTTTCAATTATTGATCCTGCAAAGCTTGTATCAAATCTTGAACTTGTTTCCTTTCGACAGTTCTAATCTCACGCGCTTTCAACGAATCAACCAAATTTTCTAATTTTAGTGTTTCAAGTTGATTGGATTCTTGAATAGCTACGATAATGTGATCAAAGTGAGAGGTCAACATACGCATTACCTTCTTAGCCAAATATTATCAAAGTGAGATGGACGAGTTTCTGTATCTTCGACACATACTCTGCAATCTTTTCGTCTTCTCCCATCGACAATAATTCATATTGTCGATGCAAGGTCTGCAACTTGATAATCTTGACTGTCTCACCTCCTTGATAGTACTTGACAAGAATATCCTATGTCTCCTTCGCCGATTCAACATGGGAGATCCTATGGAAATTCACCGTATCGACCGTCATTTAAATGCAATACGCAACCTTATAATCCTTCTTCTTGGCTTCATTATGAGCGGTTCTCTGTGCGTCAGTTACATCTACAGTTAGCGCTTGAATGCCATTAGTAACCACTTCTACGGTTTCATGAAAGCCAAACAGAGATTGCATCTGTTTTCTCCATCGAATCCAATTCTTACCGTCAAGTGTTGGAAGAAAATTCAGAATACCGTTGGTACCATTCATCTTCACTACGATTTGATTGACAATAATCCACGATTCCAGAAAGACGACTTTTGACGTGTGATTCTTGAAAATACAATCAAAAATCTAACCGGAACTCTAGATACTAATTTATTAGAGCGTGAGACACTTTTAGTGAGGATAGAAAGAGAGAATAAAAAAAAATAAAAATTATATCATTGACTTGAATTATTACAAATAATAATATAAACTATAACTATCTATAAACACCTAAATTATACACTAAATAGACTATCAAATCTTAATTTGATTTGAATTTAAATTACACAACTTAAATTAAGTCTAATATCTCAACAAAGATAACCTATTCTCTGGTAAGAGTAAGTTGGCTTGAGTTGCATTCTAATCATTCAACTCAATTGTTTTATTGAATAAATTTTCAACTTTCTATATCTTTTTCACGAGTTTCTAACAAAATGTTTCAGTATTATTTATTTATTTACTTAATTATAATCTTTTAATTTCAGCAATTTAATTTGTTTTACTGCGTGTTACATAGATGTATTCTTATATTGAAATAAATGGAACAACAAAAGAAAGTGGATCAGCCACTCAAAACAAATACGGTAAACTATACGCCAACTTTTACTTATTGAAACTCCCACCTTAGAAGTTAGAATCTTGATACACAAGTAATGATTACCCACTTTAGCTTTTGAATAAATGGAAGAAACTTAGTTCCTTTTCATGTCAGCATATATGCATAATAATGCATGCAGCATATAAATCCATGTCATATATATGTACATACAGTTAAACATAACTCAGACTTTACTCAACACTTTTTGTAGACGCATGGCAAGCAACAAAAGATGAAGATTGCATGTGAATGAAAGGAAAAAGGATACAGCTAGAAGATGAAAGATGGTGTTGGCAAGTTGGGAAACAAAATGGGACCCTTATGCACCATTGCATATTGTTGAAAGGTCGTTTTCAGTTCTTAACTTTATGTTCGTCAAAGTCAAAAAATCTCCAACATTGTTCATCATTTGTCAAAGAGCCACGGATGGATGGATAAAAGAGAAAGACGTAAATGGCACGCAGTAAAAGTGTTTTTGTCTTCAAACGTGTATATGTTTCTCTTTTCTTTTGATTCCTTCTATCCAAATTCAAATCCATATTGCATGCTAGATGCTATAATTGGGTTTCTAGATGCACACGTGCTACCTGGGACTAATTTACATTTCTATACACTCTATCTATCTCTATTTTTATTCTTTTTATGAGTGCATGCAACCAATTTAATTAAAGTCCTTATCATTAAAATGTGTCCAAAGATGGTATTAAATTCTTTTGATCAAGAGTTTTTTTTTGTTTTGTTTATTGCGGTAGCTTTTCTGATTTGAGAAATTAGTTTATAATTTTAAAATTACGATTGTCATTATTTGTATTGCAATTGTAGTTATTGCGGTTGGTGTGAAGTATTGTAGCGTGGATTTTAATTGCAATGTAATAGAAATATATCGTTAAAAAATACTTGATATTAAGATTATTTGTTAGATATGAAATAAATTGAGTTTTTTTGGAGTTGTGAAATTTGAGTTCTGATGAAATTATTTCAAAATTGATTTTTAATGGCAATCAGAGAATTGGTTTTATTTCACAATGTAATTTCGGTTTGATGCAATTGTGAAGGATACGCCATCAACAATATTGTGACCGCATTCTAAAATCTATGAATTATTTTTTTATAGTTATGTGTAAAAGATATTCAGTTTCTACTGAAAAATAAATATAGGAATGTAATTTTTTTCTCAACTATATATGGTATAGTAGGTATATATATTGCTTGGTTTAGAACCATAAATGATCGATGAAATGATGAGCTAATGCTTTGTTGTAGCAAATTTGTGTTTTTGGTGCGATGGAGAAAAGACTGATTTATAAGATTAATACTTCGACATTCAAGTTAATGAGAGAATGAAAAATAATATGATAGTGAGAATGAATTTGAATATCTAAGAATGACATACTTTCTCTCTTATATTGTGAGAGCGGTTAAAACCGTCTGCAAAGAATGTGTTGTGTGCCATTAAAAAAAGAGCGCATTGTGTAGTATGAACAATCTTCTTATTGATCTGAACAGCAGATAACAATGCAGAAGATAACATTGTCGATTTTAGGTGAATGGCATAACACTTAATCGTCATGTTTTTTTCTCTTTATTTTAACTTTAAATCGTTCTTCTTAGCTTTATGAGCTGCCAAAAGAGCTTGTTAATTAGTTAATATTTGATTACTAAAGACAAAATTGTTTTTAAGAAATAGATCCTGATTTAAATTATAAAATTTGATTTTATTTAATTAAGTAATAAAATATTTTTTAGTAATAAATAAAATACAATAAAATATCAAAAGCATTTGAAAAAGGAGTTAGGCAAGGAAATCACCTATCTAGATCTTGCTGAGTAATAGAGATCGTGGAAATTCTTTGTCTCTTCAACTCAATTGTGCATCACATAATATAATATACTCTTATTCTTTCCTCAATACCACGTTTACATTTATATATAGTAATTAAACTAAACAAAAGTCAAGCCTCACTACATATTTAAATATTAACCATATGATATCACTATTATTTTCACAAATGAACAAACTGTAGATACGAGAACATTTAAAATGATGGCAACTTTTGTCCCCTCTTAACTATTAATTAATTTAATATGTCACACTATGCTAACAACTAACAAACAACCCATTTTCTGGTAATGACTTGATGTATTAGGGGTTGAAAAAGATTAAGGTCAAAAATAAAAAAGTAGTGCAAAATGGTGGAAACTAGTTAATTACCACAAAGAAAATTAAAAGTAAAAGTAACAAGTGACAGCAAGCAACATCCTTCAGACGTAAGAATTTGGTTCTTCACATTATAATTAATTGTGAGTCTTAACCCTTAATCATATGCATTATTACATACTCGAAATCATGTTTTACCGATAAAAACACCAAAGTCCACAAAACCCACTACAAAAGGCAAGCCACTAAGTAAAGATAAGACAGTAATTATGAAAGACCCCAAAAGTTAATAAACATGCGTCGTCACACTCAGGACTAGACATTTAGACGTAAATTATAGTTTAGACATAGTTTATTCTTACAAAAAATCGGTTTGTAAGATGATTATTGTTTCCACTAATTAACATATCTTATGATCATATACGGTCTGATATAAGACTCTTAACGAAAATTAAGTGAAAAAAACTTGATGGCAATTATACGGGTGTCTGTTATTTGAGTGTGCATGTCTCATACTTTATAAATAGTATAGATACAATCAATAATAAAGTTATATATGTGGTTTAAAACTACTTCAATCCACGCACGAGTGCTTTAGTTCAATTCCTTGTGTTGTGAGCATCACACCAAAAAGTTAACCAATGAAGGAAACAATAAGGTACTTGGCAGGAATTGCAGGGCCAAGTGGTTTTGGCTCAAATTCAACTGCAGAACAAGTCACTCAACAATATTCACCTTCAAATCTAACTGCTCTAATCACTGGTAATTAAATTAACTATATACTTTTAATTAACTATATTTGATTAGTTTAGTTAATGATATTTTTTTATTTGTTTTGGAAATTTGAATTGAAGGTGCTACTTCTGGTATTGGAGGTGAAACAGCTAGGGTGTTAGCAAAAAGAGGAGTGAGAGTTGTAGTAGGTGCCAGAGACATGAAAAAAGCTATCAAAGTCAGAGAGAAAATTAAAGAGGAGAGTCCTTATGCTGAGATTATTCTATTGGAAATTGATCTTAGCTCTCTTGCTTCTGTACACAGATTTTGTTCTGAATTTTTATCTTTAGAATTGCCCCTTAATATTCTCATGTAAGTTGTTTTTTTTATGTTTGATCCATTAATTTAACTGAAAAAAATGAGATCAGAATTTTAAATAATAATTGCAGTCGGATCACTCGACTACAACTGACGCGACTTCAATCGCGACAGCTTTGTGATTTCAGCGTTAGTTCACGTTGTTATAGTATTGGAATTAAAAAATTTGTTTTGCAGAAACAATGCAGGTGTATACTCTCACAACCTGGAATTTTCTGAGGAGAAAATTGAATTGACATTTGCTACAAATTACTTAGGTACTTTTTTCATTAGGATAATTGGTTTGTTTGCTTTTTATTATTATATATCTTTCTTATGTTTCTTTTGTTCTTAAATTGCAGGACATTTTTTGTTAACAAAAATGCTGCTAGAAAAAATGGTAGATACATCAAACAAAACAGGAATTCAAGGAAGAATAATAAATGTTTCATCAGTAATCCATAGCTGGGTGAAAAGATCTTGCTTTTCTTTCAAAGACATGCTCAATGGAAAAAAGTATAATCATCATTTGCTTCTTCTTTTCTCTGTATTAATTATTATATGCATTCAATTTTGGACACTGATCAATGTTTAATTAACAAAAAATGTAGTTACAATGGGACACGCGCATACGCTCAATCGAAATTAGCCATGATTCTGCATGTGAAGGAAATGGCTAGACAATTAAAGGCGAGGAATGAAAGAGTAACTATCAATGCAATACATCCAGGGATTGTGAGGACAGGAATTATCAGAGCACATAAGGGCTTAATAACAGATTCCTTGTTTTTCATTGCATCAAAGCTGCTCAAAACAGTATCGCAGGTTCGACTATCTCTTAAACGGACGAATATAGCAATTGAATTCGCGATATATATTTGAAACTTGATATGAACTGATGTGATGTGTGTGTGCAGGGTGCATCAACTACTTGTTATGTTGCGCTGAGCCGAGAAACGGAAGGGGTGAGTGGAAAATACTTTACTGATTGTAATGAGAGTAATTGCTCAAGTCTTGCAAATGATGATTTAGAAGCTAAAAAGTTATGGAACAATACAAATGCTTTGCTTCACAAAAGACTAAGACAAGCAGCAATTGGAAGTTCTTCTTCCTTATTTTCTAGACCTTGTATCTAAACACTGTGTATGTGTGTATAACTGATATCTGACATGATACATTATCATTTATTGTACAAATATGAGAGTATACAGCATAAAATTGATATCTATGTCTTCTTATGTATGCAAAAGTGAGGGTTCTGTTCCAATAATTTTCTTTTTTGTTACAAGATCTTTCATTTTAAATCGGAAACAAGTTGTTGTAACCGATTTTAAATTGAGAGTCGTCACCCTTAATTTTTATTCTAAGGAATGAAATATAAAAGAGTAATCCTAAAAAGTTCAGAGATTCTAGGTTTTCGGACTCAGTTCTAGACGAAGGGAATGTGTTAGGCACCCCGCATCTATCTTGGTTCATAGGAATACTAGGTTTAGAAGTGCAATTTTAGAAAAAAGGATTTTAATATTTTTTTAGGGGAACTCGCCACAATTTTTGATCGTATGCCTACGTATCCTCTTAGAAGGAATCAGGGTCTCATTTTGTAGTTCGCAGTTTGTTTGTGTTTTTTATGGATTGCGAGGATATTCATATTTTCCACACGTTTAGTCTAGGTGTCGTGAATAGCAGAAATTGTTAGATTAAACGTACATTCGATTCGAATAGGTTCGTGATCCTTTTTGAAAGTTTGTTTGTTGAATTAATTTGATTTTGAAAATGAGTTTGTAGTCGGTTGAATATTTTTTAATATATCAATTTTTTTTTAAAAAAGGAATCTATTTAAATGCATGAATAAAATAAACTTTAATACAATAAATAAAAATAATATTTTAATGAATTTAGAAAATAAGAATTTATGTAATAAATAATAATAATAGTAATAAGTATAATATCAAATATATTTAAATATATAATATAAACATATATAATAATTATAATAAAAAAAAGAAAATATAAAATTTATCTTGCGGACATAGGACCTCAAGTGAAGTTTTGGGCATAAAACTTCATCGTACTTAGCAAAGATTAGAATTTTGAACTTGTGGAGAATAACAACCCCGGGAACTAAGCCCAAATCACCAAAATCTAAGCCAGGTACAGCTTGAATTTCCACAGCTTTCAACCTATCTTCCAGTTGCTTGTACTTATCCTCAGCCGGTGGATACTGTTCGTCAAAGTAATCTTCATCCTCAGAAGCTTTATTGTTTGCACCCCCAGCACGGGTGCTCCTTGCATCTTCGTCTTGGTTCTCGTCCTCTTTGGATGACTCTTCAACCAATTGTACTTGATGGACAGGGCCTTTAAACCTTTTTCCCATGTTGATCAAGGCTTTCTTCTTGGTCTTCTTTTTAGCCACCAGAAGTGACATCAACTCTTGTTGTCCTTTGGTCAAGGTGAGCAAAGTTTCGTGAAACTGAGAATTCTGCATCTGCAAGTATTTCACGGCCTGCTCGAGATCCATCTTACTGAAATAAGCAGTAGAAAGATGAGGAAACCTGTATCTGAAAACCTGCTTATGTTATGATGTATGAAATGCGTATGCAAGTGATTTCAAGGACTTCTAAGATTTAAATTTGTTTAGACAAAGATGGAACAAACATTAATTGCATTAATAAGTTCAAACGGTTACAAAAATGCCTCTTGGGCTTACAATGGGAGAAACAAAGATAATACAAAATAAACTCCTAAAACAAAAAGGACTCAAGCTTCCCATGAGTGCATCCTCTTTGGTGCAATGTAGGCATTCAAATTCTGCTCTTCATGAAGTTATCTCGTGAGCTCCAAAACCTTCTTCTCGCTTGCGTAGAACTGGGTTTCGAAGATATCTCGCTCCCCTTTGAGTTGGATCTAAGATCTTTGCAACTCCTCGAGAGTAGTCGGCATGTCAAGATAGAGAATAGTGTAAGGAACATCTCCCTTGGAAATAGGCTCCATGATGATAGGTAGAACGGCCTCATAAGCTATTGCGAGGTTTTGAGCGCGAGCTCGCACCCACTTGAGATAAGGCTTCAAAGGAATGTAGTTCTTATGCCCCAAAGTCTTGCTATCAACTTTGTTTGCCATGCCCCAAGCTCGTATGAATCTTTAACGGTAACCTTGGACATCGTTCTCATAGTCAAATGCAAATCCTTGGACAAGTGCATCATGAGGACTATCCCTCCTAACATACCTAAATTGTCGTAAATCCAAACAAGTATTATAGTTGATTCCTCCCCTAATACCAAGGAGAGCGACATTAAGGAATTCTCCACAATGGTCAATAATGGTAATGTCCTCCAAAGATCGAGAATACCAATGAATATCTGAATGCGTAAGTGACATCAACCTATTAGACCATCTCATGCCTTGCTCATTCTTCAAAACAGATCGAGGTAAGTGCGAAATAAATCACCTAGCCAACAAAGGAGTGTGAAGAGAATGCAAGATATCTCTAATTAAGGTAGGCACCGAGTTACGATATAGAAAAAATTTGATCGCATTCACATCTATGAGTTGATCCGGGTTAGGAAATAGTACCATCCCATAGATGAGAAGATCCAACACTTCTTTGAAAGCTTGTAAATTCAGAGTATCCTAAAAATGTTGAGCCTTCTCAAACAAAAACTTGGCTAGAAATCCCTTAATATCACTTCTTGTTTTCTAATTATCCATGACATCAGACCATTGTAGATATAAAGCTCGAGCAATCTCCTCAGGCCTTGGGTCTCTTTTAATACCAGTGAAGGGTAATTGATCAAGAATAGGTACACCCAAAAGTTGAGAAAACTCCTTCATAGTAGGCACTAACTAGTAATCAGGAAATGTAAAGCAATGGTGCTTAGGGTCAAAGAATTGGAAAAGCACATGTACCATATCCTCTTCAAAGTTTGTTGTAACCAAGTTGACGAGACGACCGTATTTCTTGGTGAACGGGGAATCGTTGGGAACCCTCGATGCTAATTCCTTGAGTTAAGGAGGCACTCTCACAAGGTTGATTCGGATAGTATTTATTCGCATGGAAGCCATGTCCTACAAAATAGCACAAAGATAAATCCTAAAGTCCTTGAAATGGTTAGTGTGAATGCAATGGTATGATATCATGATGTTATGTACAAGTAAACATATACAAGAAAAGAAAACAAGCTTTTAGGTTTAGGCTTGCATGAGGTTTCATTGGTAAGTACCCTCTTGAAGATTAGTTGGTTTAACCTGTCCTAGAAAGTAATCGGGTTCTAGGGGATCTCAATATCATTGATCTTTCTTCATTGGACATTGTTTCAGCGCAAGCTTCTTTATTGGCGACCGAAATATCCCAAAAGTCTAATCTCAATGAGCGTAGTATCGAGTATCAGCCAACTTCATACTGCACCAAATTCGGCTACCTCACTACTTCCTAATGGCCAAGTTGTTCAATTAAAGGTTCTAAGGTTCGTTAGTGCTTCATGACACCACACAGCGGCCTCGTATTCTCCTTAATTCGCAATAAGGGATACTGGTACCCACAAATGTGTCACACTAACATAGCTATTGTCTCAACCATATCGGTCTATGCCGTACAATCTCTAAAAAATTTGCTATTTACCTAAGGATGTTCTCAGATTCGGGTAGAGGATCAATAGAAACCCAAACAAGCACCCATAAATGTAAAGCAAACAAATCAAACAATGAAATCATTTTAAAGGTGATCTAGCTCTAAGGTAACCTCACTTTTAAGTTCATCCCCAGCTGAGTCGTCAGTTCTATAATATGGTAGGAGAACTGACTTATTTGTTTTGCATTTTATCGCAATTGTTGCGGATAGCAAGAGTCACTGCCGACTTTTCTTTTATCCAATAAGGAAAGGGTGAAAATAATAGGAAAGACCTTTGAGAAAATTTCTTGAGTTCAGGGGGTAGGTTATGAAAAGGGAAGGTGTTAGCACCCTTTTCATCTGTAGTTATCTACAGGCTCTTAGTTGCTAGCTCACTTTTGAAATTTCTTTGTTTGACATGTGTTTGTGATGGGTTTTGAAAGTATTTTTGAAAAGCGCCTTCGTTTAGGCAAACTTTGTAATGATTCTAGTCTCTATAAGAATGTATATAAAGTGTTTGACTTTTGAAAATATTTCATATTTTGAAAGTGTTGGTGTATTTTGAAAGATGTTTTAAAAATGGATTGTGAGCAAGCAACTAAGAACGTTCTACCTACCCAAAAGTCTTTTGTCCGTTTCTTTTTTCCTTTGATATTGCTATCTTACCATTGATTGGTAATAAGCCCCATCTTTAGATGTGAAGGAATAGTCGCGGGTCATCGTATAGTCATAGATAGCAATATTGTGAGATACCTTAGCAATTTTCTTAAGGGTCTAAGATCAATTGTAAGGCAACATTTGAAGCGTCGTCGAGGGACTATGATCTTGTATTTTTTATTTTTTGCTAAAGTGTCTCACATGCATAACATGACCATTTTTCTTAAGGCAACAAAGTGGAGTTAACCCTAAAGGTGTAAGTGTGCAAGTGTTTTATATTTCATGCTTGATTTATGTTGGATTTAGGGTTTTCTAAGTATTGATTTTATCTTGTCATACAAACCCTAATTACTAGCAATTATATTAAAGCGATAAGTTGCGGAAAATAAATGTCCTACGATATTACATCATTCGGGGGATGGGGTATACAAATTTACAAATGAGGGATAACAAGAAATTAAAGTCTTAATTATTTATTACAATCATATTGAATTGAATAATGTACAAAAAATGAATAAATATAATGTACAAGGATATAAAATGGAAAAGAAATAGATTTTTGTTAGCATTCGTTGTATTAAAAGGTTTTGACCTAATTAAATTAAAAGAAAAAAATTAATTAAATTAAGAAAATTTAAATCTAAATTAACTAAGAAAAGAAATTAATTTGATCAAAAGAAACATTTTTTAGGATTTTTGTAGAAAATGGTTTTGAGTTTAATCAAAATAGTATGGAAATTAATTAACTAAAATAAACCTAAATTCTAAATTAATTAATTAAAAAAATAAACTAAACATAAATTTAATTATTAACTTATTAAGAAAAAGAAATTAAGTTTTTGTAAGAAAAATGTTTTGACTTTTTGTATTGAA